AAGTTATATAAAATGGAATGATTTTAAGCCCACGTGGATACTGGGTTAGGTGGAAGAGCCAACCTAGAGTTGAGTCCCTTTGCCTTCCTTGCAGAGGGTGGCAAGCACAAATAATACAGCCTTTTGCAAATGTCCACACATGAGCCTCCTTTCTCATTGCCATTGAATTTGATTTTTGAAGGTCAAGCTTGGAGCTGTAAGCCTGTCCCTCCCCCCACCGTTTGAGTAATTAAGTACCTATGGGGTTAGGATAGGGTGACCTTTAACAGTCCTTTTTATTTTTGAGGTAAATGGCTGTCTTCAAAAAAAAAAAAAAAAAAGGTGGGGAAGGAAGTGATTCTGTGAAAGCCACTTCCGTTTGAGAAAAGAGGCTGATGGGAGCAATAAATTGTGCTGCAGCTGTAATTTCTCTGTCATATCCAGGCCCGTGAGTAGCCCCATAAAGCATGCTGTAGCAGGGAAGGGTCTTTCCCTCCTCTTACCGCCTCTTAGGATAATTAATAAAAGAGCACTCCATGCTAATCGGACCATATACTATTACGTTAACTAGTCAATGTAAGTAAAAAGTCCTCATATTTCAAATACTCACGTGATGCATTAAGTTGTCAATAATAAACTGATGCTAAATCCCCCATTTTAAGGATAGTTTACCATTTATTCTCTGGATACCTAATCTAATCAGACCCATAGCCTAATATACTGCTTTTCTAGCTAGGCTCCGATTAATTTGCCCAGACTTTCTTTGTATCATCTCTGTTTTGTTTCTCTTCTGTGCATTTGTTTTTCAGTAAGCAATGGCCTCGGTTTTCCTTCTCTTTGGGATGGCCACCACCACATAGGGCCCGAATGCGAAAGAAGACCCTCTATTTTTCTGCTTCAGTTGCAGTCTGGTAGTCAAACAACTGTTGAATGGGCCACTGTCTCAGCAGACCATCAGGTGAATGGGACCAGTCTCTCTTCTTCCAAAGTATCAGAAATTAAGCACTTGGAAAGGAGATTTGGCCAAGATGACCCATTTACAGGCTGGGCTCAGTCCAGAGACTATAGAGAAAGCACGCCTAGAACTGAATGAAAACCCAGATGTTCTACATCAGGATATTCAGCAGGTCAGGGACATGATCATCACCAGGCCTGACATTGGATTTTTACGTACAGATGATGCCTTCATCCTGAGATTTCTCCGAGCCAGGAAGTTTCACCAAGCGGATGCCTTTAGACTCCTGGCCCAGTACTTCCAGTACCGCCAGCTAAACCTGGACATGTTCAAAAACTTCAAGGCAGATGATCCCGGCATTAAGAGGGCTCTGATCGATGGGTTCCCTGGGGTGCTGGAAAACCGCGACCACTACGGCAGGAAGATTCTTCTGCTGTTTGCAGCCAATTGGGATCAGAGTAGGTAAATGTAGATAGTGTCTTTACTTGGTTTTTCTTTTCTATAAGCATTTTCACTGTATGTTTGGCATTGTATGTCTTTATAGGTAATGAACTTTCATTTTTAAAAGTATATTCCACACACCCACAAAGGAAGTTTTAAGGCCACAGGTGTGCTTTTATTAAATGACAATTCTAGATTCCCAGGTGTTTTTTGGAACAACAGAATCACAACATCACAGTTGTAAGAGACCTTAGACATCACTATTCTATTCATCAAAGTAGGTCATTTATTTTAATAAAATTGAAAGCTGGTCTTCTTGAGGAACCGTATATTCTGTCTTTAGTGTTCTCATCTTTAACAACAATAACAAAGATGGATTCCATAGATGGCTTTAAATCAAGAGTTTTCAACACATAAAATAATTTCTTGGACCCTCTCCATAACTTTAATATCGGCTATTTCTCCTGAGTGCCAGATCTTTCTCTCCAAATGCCTGCTAGACATTGCTTTTTTTTTTTTTTTTTTTTTTTTTTT